GTGTTTCTTTCTTTTTTTTAAGATTTTATTTATTTATTTGACAGAGAAAGAGAGAGAGCGTGCACAAGTAGGCAGAGAGGCAGGCAGAGGGAGAGGGAAAAGCAGACTCCCCGCTGAGCAGGGAGCCCAACGTGGGGCTCGATCCCAGGACCCTGGGATCATGACCTGAGCCGAAGTCAGGTGCTTAACCGACTGAGCCACTCAGGCGCCCCTTGATCTTGAGGTTTTAAGTTCAAGCCCCATGTTGGGTAGAAATTACTTAAAAATAAAATCTTAAAAAAAATTTTTTTAAGAAGAATATTTTGAGAGGGGCGCCTGAGTGGCTCAGTTGTTAAGCATCTGCCTTCAGCTCAGGTCATGATCCCAGAGTCCTGGGATCGAGCCCCACGTCGGGCTCCCTGCTCTGCAGGAAGCCTGCTTCTCCCACTCCCATTCCTTCTGCTTGTGTTCCCTCTTTCACTGTGTCTTTGTCAAATAAATAAAATCTTTAAAAAAAAAAGAGTATTTTGAGGACTATAAAAAATCTACAATCAAACAAGGTAAAATTTACAATATCTGGCATTCAATCATAGATTACTAGGCATTCAAAGAAGCAGGAATACGTGACCTATAATGAGACCAGTCAATCAAAACCAACCCAGAACTGACAGACGCTAGCATTAGCAGAGTGGACCTTAAAGCAGTTATTATAAATGCACTCCAAATGTTCAAAAGTTAAATAGAGACAAGGAAGATATATATTAAAGATTTACTTATTTGAGAGAGAGAGAATACGTGTACGCACGTGAGCTGGGGGGGATGGGCTGAGGGAGAGCAAGAGAATCTCAAGCAGACTCCCAGTTGAGTGTGGAGCCCTACACCTGGCTTGATCTTGATGCATCTGGATCTCACTATCCTGAGATCATGACCTGAGCAGAAATCAAGAGTCCGACACTTAACTGCCTGAGCCACCCAGGCACCCCAAAGATGTATTTTTTAAGGCCCAAATCAACCTTCTAGATATGAAAACTGCAATGTCTGAGATGAAAAATATAATTCATGGGATTGACAGCAAATCTGACATTGCAGAAAAAGAAAAAAGCAGCTTGTGAACTTGAAGGCTTAGCAATAAAAACCAACCAAAAGGAAACAGAGAAAAAGCCTGAAGGCCAAAAGGACAGAGCCATCAGGGAGCTATGAGAGAACCTTGAAAAGCCTAATGGACAAGTAACTGAAGGTAGATTGATAAATTAAAGATGCACACTACAAACCCTACAGCAATCTCTAAAACAGTAACATGAAGAGTTATAGTTTATATATAGCCAACAAAGAGTAAAACATGGAACAAAACACACCATTAGTCCTAAAGAAGGTGGAACATCAGGAGAAAAGGGAACAAAGAAAGATAGGACAATTAGAAAACAATTACAAAGATGACAGACTCAAATCTAACCATATCAATAATTATGCCAAAATACATAAATCTAAACATCCCAACAGGAAAACATTATCAGATTAGATTTTCTAAAAAGCAAGGGCCTACTATATGCTGCCTTCAAGAATGCATATTACATGTAAAGACAAGAATAAGTTAAAAGCAAAAAGATGTAAAAAAAATATATACTAGTCAAAGAAAAAGCTGGAGCGGCTATATTAATTTAAGGCAATGTAGATTTCAGAGCAAAGAATTTTTTTTTTAAAGATTATGTATTTCAGAGAGAGTGCGGGGAGGGGGAGAGGGAGAGGAGGAGAGAATCCTCAGACTCCCTGCTGAGCTCAGAGCCCAACAT